CTCCCTTAGCATGGCAAATGTCTCTCATGGGTGGGAACCTGTTTGATTATCAGCTTGTGCTTGCTCATATCCGGTTTTTCCCGGTTCTCCTTGTGCCAGTTTTGTTCATCAGCTTGAATGGCCTCTCCTGGCCCTGTGGGGTCCAGATGGAGGGGGCCTGGGCACCCTCTCTGCCTGCGCCCTGCTCTCTGCCATGGGCTGGTGTACCCAGGAGCTGCGTGTGGGTCCTGTTGCGAGACGAGCTGTCTGCTCTTTTGTCTCCCTCTGGCCTTTCTCTGCACCTGTTTTCATTTAGATCAACACAGGTGACCTGGACAAGTTGTATCAGGGTCACTCTACTGAAGCTGTTTCCCTCGGTTCATGTTAGGGATGTGTATAGATATAAACCCAGGGGATAATGTTTCTCTGACCCTCCACTTTTGGTGTGGGGTGGAAGTGCACCCCAAGAACTTGCCTTGATAGGAGTTGTGTTTCTGCCCACATGGTTCTGGAGGAAGGTCACTACGTCTGAGAAAATGAGCCGGTCTGTCCAGACTTTGGTACAGCAGATCCCTTCCACCAGCTCAGGCTGGATCGACTCTGTGGGGTCGAGTGCACCCTTAGCAAGTTTGCCGATGACACCAAGCTGTGTGGCGAGGTAGACATGCTGGAGGGGAGGGATGCCATCCAGAGGGACCTGGACAGGCTGGAGAGGTGGGTCCAAGCCAACCTCATGCATTTCAACAAGACCAAGTGCAAGGTCCTACATCTGGGTCAGAGCAATCCCAAGCACAAATACTGGCTGGGCAGGGAATGGCTGGAGAGCAGCCCTGAGGAGAAGGACCTGGGGGTGCTGATTGATGAGAAGCTCAGCATGAGCCGGCAATGTGCAATCGCAGCCCAGAAGGCCAACCGTATCCTGGACTGCATCAAAAGAACTGTGGCCAGCAGATCAAGGGAGGTGATTCTGCCCCTCTACTCCGCTCTCATGAGACCCCACCTGGAGTACTGCATCCAGCTCTGGAGTCCTCAATATAGAAGGCTCCGGGGAGGTCTTATTGAGGCCTTCCAGTACCTAAAGGGCCTACAGGAGAGCTGGGGAAGGGCTTTTTACTAGGGCATGGAGTGACAGGACGAGGGGGAATGGCTTTACACTGGAAGAGGGCAGGTTTAGATCAAACATTAGGAAGAAGTTTTTCACTTTGAGGGTGGTGAGGAACTGGAACAGGTTGCCCAACCTGCCCAACCAACAGGTTGTTGAGGCCCCATCCCTGGAGGTGCTCAAGGCCAGGCTGGAGGTGGCCTTGGGCAACCTGGGCTGGTGGGAGGTGTCCCTGCCCATGGCAGGGGTTTGGAACTCGACGATCTTCAAGGTCCTTTCCAACGTAAACCATTCTATGATTCTTTCCGACAGCAGCTTCCCTCTCTGATCCCGGCCCCATACAAGCACTGGAATTGCCAGTGAGCGCTTCCCCGGCAGGAGCATGCTGGGACCCCTCTGGGGTCGGGCAGGCTGGCTGGGGCATGCAATTTGTCCTTTTGTGTGCTTTGGAGATGCTTGGGAACAAACACATCAAGAGAGAAATGTCATCTGCTCCTCATGGGAAGGAGAGGACCTTTCCCACTGATACTCCCAAATCCTTTCTGCTGGGGCCAATTTGTAGTACTTCTGAAAAAGGCAAAACTGCCAATTTTCTCCCTGCTCTCCTCTCTTTGGTGCTGGTGTAGCCTGTGACACAGGCGCCATGGGCACTGTCCCTGCACCAGCAGCAGCAAAGCACATGACACACGAGGCCGTGGTCCTGTCTGACCCCATCCCTCATTGTGCAGAAGCCTTGTCCCCGTGTGCTGCCCTGGGAGCTGAGTGGCCCCAGTCGTCCCCAGCCCAGTGCTGGGCGTAGAGCTTCCTCCCCCCGAATTACCGAGCACAAAAGCTTCCTTTCTCCTCCCCAGGGCCCATTCATTACCGGGCTGACTCCTCGTCATGCTTGGTTAGACTGGGGCATTTTGCTTTGGTGTTGTAACGGTTGTTACATGCTGATGGCAGAACAGCGAGAGGGTTCCCACAGCATCAGAGATCTGGAGATAGCAGAAGGGTTAAAGCCTTGGCCCAAAAGGCTGGGGTGGCATGGTGAAACTAGGGGACGATATTCTCACTGTTGTAAATCAGTGTTAACTTCAACAGAGCTGTCCTGATCTGCCTCACCTGGCTCTTGTCTTTACTTTCTCACCCTGCTCTCACTTGTACGTGTGTACGTGCACATACAGACACGCATTTACACGTGTGCACATGTGTGCTCTCAAACATGCTGGTGCACATGGGTGTGAGCTAGAGAGAGATTTGAAAATTTTCTGTCAATGTGTTTTTCAGTGAAAAATGAGATGCGAGTTCTCTGAGTTGTTTCAGGTTAAACAATCCCATAAGATATCCCCACCTCAGCAAACCTAAGCTCTTGGGTGCGTCTTTTGCAAAATGAAATGTTGGTTTTTAATCTAAAAGATGCTGAGATGTCTATAAAGGACATTTACAAGTTTATTTTGTTTGTTGTGTTTTGTAAGCTGGAAAACAAGTGAAAATGGAATATTTTGCTTTGGACTGAACAAGCTGTTGTGCTAATGATGCTTTCAGTCTTTTGATTCTTTGAGACAATTGGGAAATGTTTAGTTTTGGGTTGGTCTGGAGCAATGACACAGATTGCAGACCCTGCATCCCCCCTAAAATCCACACGTCCTATCCAGGCTCCCTGGGAGCCCCCTTGGGAGGGCGTTCAGAGGGGCAGAGCTCTCCTTGCCTGAGCAGGGCCAGTGAGCCGGGGGCTGGCAGCCCGCTGCGCGCCCCAGCAGCGCCTCACCTAGACCCTGGCAAATGCTGTCGGCCGAGTCTTCGTGCCAGTCTGAGTACTGTGGGTGGATTTTTAGGGCTGACGCGGAGTCGCTAGTGCATGGGAAGATGAGTGTGTAGCTGTAAGTGAGCTGGCAGAGCAGAGCGGCTGCCCTGGGACCTGTGCCCTTGCTCAGCAGGGGTTTGCACGTGTGGCTCTCTCAGGCGTCTGTGACCGCTTGGGGTTTCAATGCTGGGAATCAGTTGCTGGCAGACAGGTCCAGGCAGTGCTGAAAATCACAAATTGCAGCTCCAGATAAGAGGTGGGAGCTCAGAGGTCTGGCACGGGTGCTTCAAAAGGCAGTGGGAACTGCAGGTTGGGTTTGGAGCTGTGTAGGAGCTGGATTTTATTCTCAGCTGTGCTGAAGGGCCCTCACCTATGTGCAGAGCGGGCTGTGGGCAGTGTATTCTTCTGCAGTTGTAGACACTGTGTTTTTATGTGGTGACTGACCCTGCTCGGACAGGGAGGTTGGACTAGATGATCTCCAGAGGTCCCTTCCAATCCTGTGATTCTGTGACTTTGCCTGTCACCAGCCAAAGGTGTGTTTGGGATGCTCCTTCCTTCCTGCTTTGTTTAGAAATAAATCCTCCCATCCTGTCCTCTGCAGAGGGGTTTCTGGATTCGGACACATGCCTCAGCGCCCCTGGCCTTTGCACTTGGGTTTCAGCTGACCCTGTCCCAAGTAGACAAGCTCATGAGCACCGAGGTTGGATCTGCCCACGTAGTCCATGCTGAGAGCAATTCCCCAGGAGGATGCTCAGGCTGGGCTGAGTTACTGTGGTCTGCTCCCTGTGGAACCCTGGTCTGACACTTCTCTGGCTCCATCCGTCCAGCATCCTCTCTCTGCTCCGTGTCCTCCCTTCCTCTCTCACCTTGGGTAGCTTAAAAGGCACTGGTGGATAGAAATGCCTGCTGGGCTGCTGTCTTGTACAGGTGGGCTCTGCAGCACCCATGAGGGACTGCCGAGTCCCATGGTGAGCTCTTGGTGCTGTGCTCTGCCAGTCCACACAGGGAGAAGTCTTCTCCTTAAGGGCTGCCGTTGGAGTTGGTTAGGTCTTGAGTCCTCCTTTAACAAGTCAGATCAATCTTCTGCTCCAAGAAAGATGCTGTCATTCACTCCAGGCACCAGTTCTTGGCACTTTGAGCTCTCTTTCTCTTCTGTTATTCTCTGTCCCATTGAGGGGCAGAAATGGACGCCCCTGTGCTCTTACTCAGATCTGGTCTTTTGGCCTGTTAATGACTGTTGGAACCATCTGCCTTTGATCTCTTGACTGTGCTCCTTGGTCTGCTCATGATGGTGGTGGGCAGCAGGTCCTCTGCAAGGCTTGGCAGGCCTGGCAGCGTGGAGCTGGTCACCCCAGGCAGGCAGGTTCTGCCTCCTGGCTTGGTGGATGGCTGTGGGTAAGCCAGTGCATCGCGAGCAAGGGGGATCTCCATCCAGACCTGCTCGAAAGTCACGTAGCTCCTCAAGGCTCTCCCCTACCACTACCTCCTCAGCCAAAAGCTCTCGGTGCTGCAGTGCAGGGAGCCAGGCACTTCCCTGGAGGTGCTGCCTCACTGGGAGCCAGGGGTCCCCCTTGGTCCCAGCACCCCTGGGCTCTGTGGCAGAGCGATTGCAGGATGGTGGAGCACTGCTCTTCCATGGGGGTTGGCTGCTCCTGGCCTCGTTGGCCACCTGACAATTATGCAGTGTCAAAACACATGACTGAAAGCATTCTTGTTTAATCCTAGATTAAAACAAGCATTGACTCCTGGTTTTAGGAGATTACCTGTCTGCTCACCAGCCTGTACTGTCTGGGATCCCCAGGAGATGCAGGAGGCTGTGACGTGGGAGCTTTTGCTGTGCTTTGATTTCGGGGGGCTGGGTTTGTGCTGCAAGCAGTGCTGCATTAGTCCTTGTCACTGCCTCTTCTCTGCTCAATAGTGCCAGCGATAATGAACTGTTGCTGGACGTGACAGTCAGTGAAGGGATTTTTAAGGCCTTCCCGTTTCCCCAGAACCACCCTGGAGAGATGAGGCATGTGCAGTAGGGCAAGCAGGGAGAAGGCGTGCGTGGAGCGAGGTCCCGCAGCAGTGGATGGATGAACCCAGGTTAGTGCCATGGCCCAGGCTCCCCCAGCGGAGCCAGCCTTGGCTGACCCTGCGCCGGCATGTTCCTGCCACCAAAGGCACCGGTTGTCCTTGGCCTTCGTCCAGGCCGTCTGCAGCGTGGCCCGCTGTCACCTTCTGTGGGGGTGACAGCCCCTTGCCCGTATAGGACCTGAGGGGAGAGGCAAAGGGGAAGTTGAATCTGGGCTGGAGGGAGGATTTGAGCATGCCGCATCCCTCTGTTAAACAAGAGCTAGTTCATCCCATAGCGACTGTTTCATCTTGGTGCTCCCACTTCCCCCCGCCATGGGCTCGTGCCTTCTGCCACCAGAGTTTACTGTGTGCTGAGAAAACAGTATTTAGATTTTCCTTGAATGTTTTGTGTCTTGAGACTTTCTTCGTAGCAGAGGACATTTCCTTCCGCCCCTTTCCCCTTGGCTCCCTGAGTGAAGCCACCATGCAGTGGAGGGGAAGCAGGATGGGTTTGGTGCTGTGCAAACCTCAGAGAGCGGAGTCCCCGGGGTGGTGTGTGCGCTCTGCCTCCTTCACTGTCTCTCCTCTCCTTTCATCCAGGCCAGCTGAAGCTGTCCATTGAGGTGCAGGGCCGGGTCCTGGTGCTACACAGTGAGTATCTCCCTGGGGTGTAATGGCGAGGTGGCTGCAGAGCCACAGTGGGCTAGTGATGGGGACAGCACTTCCATGCCCTTTCTTCAAGCTCTTTGGAGCTTCACGGCAGCTATTGGGAACAACTCTGTGGTAGAGCAGCATGGGGATCTTTGATTTAGGGACCAAACCAAAATTTCTGGAGACATTCATTTCTGGGTGGCCACAGTGTGTTTTGCATCCACCTATATAATTTTTTTTCTTTAACTCCTTGTGAAGAGAAAAAGGGTAAATATAATTTGGAAAAGAAAGTTTGGAATGCTTTGTCTCCAGTGTAATGTCTCTTACGTTGGCCAAAACCATTTGCCAGGATTTCCAAATTGTTCTGTTACCTCCAAGTGCTGCATATTTTTTTTTTTTTTTTAACACCAGCAGTATTTCTTCAGCAAAAGTGTTTCACCTGGTCCAGGCTGGGGTTGCTCTCCCTCAAGCCACGGCATGTCCCACTGGGGACAAGAGATGCTTTTATTTCTCTGGGGACTCGAGCCTGGCCACCGCTGCTGGGTACTGGTGCAGGAGAGCAATGCAACACCTGGGACATGAGTTCCATCACAGCCATAAGGCAGGTCCCAGGGAACTGTGTCACTGCAGTTTTAATGGTGTTCGTTAGAAAGGCCAATGAGAGTATCAGAACTAGTTCTTTTCTTTAGGAAAAACCTGTCTGGAGACACTTGAGGGGGCCCTTAGGATTGCTCCTGCAGTGAAGGATGTGTGTGTTCTGGTCTCCTGGCACAGAGCTCTGTCAGGGGCTCATCAGAGCTTCATGATAAGTAAACGGTTAAAGAATCAAGGAAAAAGCCAAGGGTTTGAAATGGTCAGAGTAGAAATTTCCTCCCTGTGAACAGGCCCGGCTCATTGTACCCTGGATTTGGGCTCCGTAGGGGGAAAGGGGAAAGCAGGGCCCTGGGACTTCCAGTGCCCTTGGGGGTGGCTGTGCTTTGGTGGGGAAGGCACCCCCGTCCCAGAGACCTTCATGGCAGGGCGGGAGGGGATGGAAAAGGCTTTCTCTTGAGCAACGTCCCACCTTACAGCCCAGCCTCACCCCTGCCTGGGTGTAGTGAAATGGGGGCAGAGGGTGGCCTGAGGCTGGGGGGACTGGCCGAGCCACGCACAGCCCCTGTTCTGCTCCACTCGGCAGCCGTGAGAGCTTGCTGCCCTTTTCCGGCTGTGCAGGCAAGCTTTGTGAAGAAACAACAGCAGGAAAATGCTCCTGCAGTGAAGGATGTGTGTGTTCTGGTCTCCTGGCACAGAGCTCTGTCAGGGGCTCATCAGAGCTTCATGATAAGTAAACGGTTAAAGAATCAAGGAAAAAGCCAAGGGTTTGAAATGGTCAGAGTAGAAATTTCCTCCCTGTGAACAGGCCCGGCTCATTGTACCCTGGATTTGGGCTCCGTAGGGGGAAAGGGGAAAGCAGGGCCCTGGGACTTCCAGTGCCCTTGGGGGTGGCTGTGCTTTGGTGGGGAAGGCACCCCCGTCCCAGAGACCTTCATGGCAGGGCGGGAGGGGATGGAAAAGGCTTTCTCTTGAGCAACGTCCCACCTTACAGCCCAGCCTCACCCCTGCCTGGGTGTAGTGAAATGGGGGCAGAGGGTGGCCTGAGGCTGGGGGGACTGGCCGAGCCACGCACAGCCCCTGTTCTGCTCCACTCGGCAGCCGTGAGAGCTTGCTGCCCTTTTCCGGCTGTGCAGGCAAGCTTTGTGAAGAAACAACAGCAGGAAAATGTGTTGTTTTTCTTTTTTTTTTTTTTTTTTTTTTTTTTTTTTTTTTTTTTCTCTCCCTCCAAGCTGTGTGTGGCTCTGAGAGTCTGGCACAGGCTTTACCCCAAATCCTTCCATCTGGAGCAGCCCCGGCATGAGCTGGGTGCGAGTCACTGTCTTGTTCTGATGTTGCCTCCAAAAGAGGGTCTGGGAAGAGGGAAATGGTCCAGCAAAGAGGCAAAGGAGGCTCAAGGTCTGGGACCTGACATCCCGCTGCACATGTCGGATGCTCCGGGTGCTTGGTGGGGGCAGAAGGAGGCTGGGTGATGTGGGGTGATCTGTCTTACTTTTTCGTTTGCCACCCCAATGTCTTTAAACCCAAAGCAGGTCTGGCTGGAGGAGAAAGATCTTGGTGCAGCCCGTCCTGGAGGAGCCTTGCTAACTGCTTTGTGAAGCACCAGATGGTCCTGCAGAACCCCTTTCCCCTTGCGCACTGGGGTTTCTGTCGGGCTGACCATGTCTATTAGGAGCACGTATCTGTCTCTGACAAAGGCAAAGTCACTGCTGCCGTGCCAGGCTCATTAGGAGGGAGCTTAGCCTTGTTCCGACAGCCCGTCCTGGACTACCCAGACTCTGCTGCACATCTATTGCCTCCAGGCACGCGGCTAGGAAATGCAGCATTCCCAACTGTCAGCAGCAGTGCAATGCTGAGTCCCCGCTGGCGGGGCTGCCATCAGGATGCGGCCATTGATATTTAACTTGATGATACATTTGGCTCCAGGGTAGGGAGCCCAGAGCTGTGTGAAGTCAGGCAAATGAAATGCAATTTGCCATCCGGATGCTGAACTGCATCTGACGCCAACCTCACCCACAGACGCTTGTATTTATAGCATGGGTGTATATTATTGAAAAAATACAATAAAACCCTTCCCCTGTTTGTGGGTGCCCAGTGAGACCAGGCTGCTGGGGAGGTGTGCGCAGGATCCTGTTGGGGTCGGAGATGGGTTCAGCCCCACAAGGAGGGAGCATCCCATGGAGCAGAGCGCTGCGGTGTAGGAAGATGCCTTCTGTGCTGCTTTGGAACTTGACCGTTTCATTTCCTTTCCAGTCATGGAAGCAAAAGGTCTGATGGGAAAGGAGTGCCGGACATGTGACTCCTACGTGAAGGTTGGTCCTCCTGGGGCTTTGCTCGGGGAACTTGGGGCTTTCTTGGGGTTTTGGGGTTGGTTCCTCTAAGCATGCTCTAGGCTGCCTGTCCCTTCCCTTTCCTCCTCTGTCCTGCTCTGGCTGAGCACCCATAAGAGTGCAGGGAGATGGATGGTCTCTTGCCCAGCGCTGGAGGGCTCACTCGTTTTGTTGGCACGGTGTCTGCATGGAGCCAGAAAAGCGGAGGACAGGACCCTGCTAAGGGCTGGGTCAACCATTCATTGCAAGAGTGTCCCACTGGGTGCCCAAGGGCTGGTGGGGATAAGCGTTTGGCCAGCACAATGTGGCTCCGGGCTATCCTGGAGGTCACCTTGGCAGGCTGTTCCCACCACGGTGTGTGCAGTGCAGGAAGCATCTCCCCTGCGAGGGGGCTGCAAGTCAGACCCCAGCCAGCAACGTTTGTGTACATCAGTCCTTCATTCTTCTGCTGTTTTTCTTCCCTCCCCTGAGGTGTTTTGTAACGCAATTACTTGACATGCATAGGGTAAAGTGATCTAAACCACCCGTTAACACAGGCTCAGCTGGATGTTTGAGGCTTAGCCATCCATAAAAGCGGCTGTGCTGGTCTCCTGCCACTGCAGCGGCAGAGCGGGCAGCTGTGTGCCAGTGCTTGCTTTGAGAGTGCTAACACGCTGCTTGTTTTCCCCTGTGAAGATGTCCATCGTGCCAGATGCTGACTGGAAATGCAGGCAAAAGACGAAGACTGTGCCAGACAGCAAAAACCCTGTCTTCCATGAGCACTTTCTTTTGTGAGTATGACAGGGCAGAGGTAGCGCTGAGCCATCCGTCAGCGCCGTGTTCACACTGTGCAGTGGGGGACCCATGTGGCTGCTGTCCTGGGGTACCCTCTTGAAGCCAAAACCCCGTGTTCGCTTTTGCATTAGGATCTGTAATAAACGCACATCATGCATGAGCAGGTCTGCTGCTGAGATGAGGAGTGACAGACATTATTCTGCTGTTTTTTATAGCTGAAATGCCTTGAACTTTCGGGCAGAGCTCTGTGGAGGCTCACAAAGCTGTCAGCACACAGCATGGCAGCGGTGCTCCCGCACATTTGGACTTTCTTGCTGGGCAGGAGTTGGGTAAACACACCCCGTTTCCTAGACCTTACACCTGCGATAGTACAGGCATCGGTATGAATGAGGAAGGTAAAAGGATTTCCTATAGCTACAGCATGTCTCTGCATGGGAAAGGAGCTGTACGGCTCGTTGTGTTTCGGTGGAGCTTGTCATTGCCAGCGAACCAGTCTGTGTCAGACCTCTGTCCCCATGCAGCATTTAATCTGGCGCAGGGTGGTTGTTTCAGAGCATGAACTGTGGCATGTTCCATGCGTTTACCCTTTGATGTTGGATGTGTGTCTTTCTGGAAAATTTTCTTCCCCATAAACCATCTGAGCGGTGTCCCCAGTGCCTGCCCAGGAGAGATCACATCCCTTTGCAGCTGTCTGTCAGGAACAAGGGAATTAGTGCAACAGTGGCTCGTCTGAGGAGGTTACTATCTGGGGGGACGCTGCAGTGCTCCGTGCAGAGAATGGAGGAGAAGACCTGGCTCTGAGGAGGGTGAGGGGTCTCCCTTGCTGAGTGCTCCAGTGGGAGGTTGGTGCTCACGAGCTGTCCCCTCTGCTTCTTACAGCCCAGTGCAAGAGGAGGATGAGCAGAAACG